AGACATTTGATGTATAGAAAGTTGCACATTTTGCACTATTGATATCTGCATCACTCATACTTATAGTGTTAATGTCAGCACAGGATGACATGGATTTATGTTTGTTTTACCATTGATTAAAAGTTGATGATGTAAAGGACATGGTTGTGTTCCTCTTCAGAATGGGAGTAAAAGCTTGGTCTGGTATATATGGTTAGACAGGAGTTAGTCACAGCAGCATATAAGTAAGTTGTGTTAACCTGGCCAACACAACACGTGAAGAACATAGATTATACATTTCCTGGTTTTACAGAGTGTAAGCATATCACGTAAAGGGCTGTGCATTAATAAAATGCCCATCGTATAAGCATAACATCATCAAGGCATATGGTGAATTTGTGTTTACTTTTGCATCATTTTCCACAAAGAGTAATTATTTTTTGCAGACTATGTCCTGCTATTATGCTAAATTTAAGCTTAATGATTTGCTGCTAATATCAGTAAGCAGCAGAAGAATTTAAGCAAAACTTTAGCACAGTGAAATTAGATTGAGAGTTTTTGTTGTGACTGATTTGCACCCTTTAGTGTTCTTGATGCTTAAACACTGCAAAATGCAATTCCTTACTTACTGTGGTTCCTACGAGATGTCTTATTTTAATACTGTACTACTACTTCCTATAATTAACTGATTTTAACAACAACAAGATATCATCACCAATATTTCTCAAAAATGGAGAACATTTATTTTCTTAATATTCATACATGATAACCATTTGGTAATTATATATTTTTTTTTTTAAGAAACTGGTATCACATGTTAAACTCCTTAAGAATGTTCATATTGAAACTGTGGTTTATGATATTTAAGAGCAATGCCTTTATGATAGCACACAAGACTATAATGAATTTATTATTATATTCACATATTTCAGATGTATTTTTTATTAGAAGAGAATAGATTTCATTTAGAAAATAACATTAGGAGAAAAGCAGCATGTGCTTTCATATTTTGATAGCATTAGGCAGTTTTCTTTTTTCTTTTTTTTTTACTTCAGAAAAATAGATTATTGTGTTTGGTTTTGTTGTAAGTTTCAAATTAAGGAGTTTAAATGGAAAAAACTTAACTTTTGATGTAAATAGTGCACCACAGAACCACAAGTATATTTCTGTGCTGTTGGAATTAACACAATTTTCTCATATAAATATTTTCCTTGTGCTATAGGTTAATCATTTGTACCTATGCTGTTAACACTGCACACCTCATACTTTCTTATTATTAACCTTAGATGTTAACACTACTCATATGTTAATATTATGTAACAGTATGTACATATTATAACATATTAGAAAGATAAAATTGAATGTATTTTCAACTTATTGTCCATATTCTGGTCATCTATAAAACACCACTCCTTGGTTGTATCAATTGTTAATTAGTAATGAAATCTGTATACCACTACAGTTCATACCATCAGGTACTAGTTACACATTATATATCCATTATCAAAAAGTTTTGAAAAAAATCTCCCTTGTGAAAGTAACCCCAACCAAGAGGTGGTGTTTTACTCAGCCAAGAAGTGCATGACCCTTTACTTGACCTTGCTCTTCCACTTGTCCTCTTCCTATGTAGCTCACAGTCCATGGGGGAAGAAGAGGAGGGAATCCCTATGCGTCCTCTTAGGATAATGAACGGGGATCCTGAGAGAAGAGCAAATCTAGTAATAAAGGAGTAAGTATTGCTGCTTTTCTTGGAACACTGGGAGTGTAGTGGCTGAGTCCCAATGCTTACTGCAGCCTAACCAGGTGAACTCAACCTCCTCCATTTTGTCTGCAGTTAAGCAGGACCTGCTGCTAGGAGGACCATGATTTGTCATTATCCTGTGAAGATGACTTCACGTGTGATAGCATGACAAATTTTTATAATTTTTTAAAAATCTTGTTCTTTCCTTTTTCTGGTGATATAAGCAGATATCCCCCTTTCAAAGGCTGTGCTATGCATGTCATATACTGATATCAGTCACAGTGATGGTAATCTTAGTTTTAGATTCCTTAAAACTGATGCCACACTCATAAGGTAGTATTGGTATAATTTCCTATTCAAAAGCCAGCACCACTATTTATATTTATGCATGACTTAAACATTAAACTGTATCACTGAAGTGGTTTATTGTCCAGCTGAGCAAAGGGTTTATAGTTACTGCTTTTATCCATGGATAGTAATTTGAATGTAGATAAATAAGTCCCATGATAAAATAGTGTTTTAGTAAAATGGTTGATAAAACAGTACTTGAAATACATTAACTTTCATAACTAAATATTACTGCCTATTTAAAAAGAGAAATACTTAATGCTTCATAGAGCTTTTGTTTGCTTACACTGAGTATTGATAGAATTGTTTTGAAAACTAATTTGAACTGAGCAGGTATTGGTTTTCATTTTATGGATGGATCTTTTAGCCAAAGTAGAGATGGAAACTGGAAAAATGCTCAACAATATAATCTCTCCAAATATCTCTCTCTCA